AAACTCTTTTGCATCCCTCTACTCTGAGGATTCGGATGATGAGGATTTCTCTATTTCCAAAACACCGAATTTAAACAGAAGCTGTCCCGAAGCAGGTCTTATTATTAACGAGGTTTTGGATGATCTCAAAATAAAAATTGCTAACTTAGAAAATAAACTTCAAATAGCCGAAACTGATATAGAAAATTTATTGTTGGAAAATAGCTCTCTAAAAAGGGAAATTTTAAAGTTTTAAAAAAAAAGACGAATCAACTGACAAAAACAAATCTAATAGAATTTAGGAATAATAAAAAAGCTCCAATTGAATTATAAATTTTATAATCGACGGCGAAAAAATTGAGAAAGTGCATCACATGAGATTTCTGGGTGTTACCATAGATTGTAATTTGAACTGGAAATCACATGTTGAGAAAATAAACAGTAGGATTTCAAGCAGTTGTTACGCCATATCAATATTGAATAATGTAGCATCTAGAGATGTAGCAAAAAATTATTACTATGGTAATGTCTATCCACTTCTGACATATGGAATTATATGGAGCAATTCTTTTGACATTCAGTCTACATTTGTTTTGCAAAAAAAGTGTTTAAGGATTTTGTATAATATTAATCAATATGACTCATTAACAAATGTATTTATAGATTGTAAATTTCTGACGTTGACTTGTATTACATACTTGAAATTTCTGTGTTTGTCAAAGATAAACAACAACATTTTAATATAAAAAAAGAATCAAAAAAGAACTTGCGAACTCAATATGCTTTTGATGTGTGCATTGTTAAATTATCTAGTTACATTTATAGTAAAAGTACTTTAATAAGCGAAATCAGAATCTTTAACCATTTATCTACATACATTAAATCATTAGAGAGCCCAAGATTTAAAAAAAAGTTAAAAGATTGGTTATTATCAAAATGTTTTTATAATTTAGATGAATTTTTTGGAAGTAATTATTGATTTATTGTAGTGCTTTATTTTGTTTTATTATATTGTAGTCCGAAATGGACAAACTGTTGTAACTATACTCTGTATTTGTAAGACCTCATGTAAACAGTTATGAGAATAGATGACTATCTTATCTTATGTTGCAAACCAGTAACATTCATTGCTATGCGGACGACAGCACTAGTGATGCTATATACACCGGCCGTGCCAATATTTCTCGGGAAAACGTCGCCCAGTACCGGAACAAACTTGTGTCTGAAGTCGAGACTTTGTTGAACAAATTTTTTTTCATGCCGGCACACCGCTTGCAACTTTACAAGGCGCACGTTAGGCCTCACTTGGAAACTGTTCCCATCTCTGGGCAAGGGCTCCCCAGTGCCAGTTCCTTCCACTTGACCGCATCCAGCGCAGAGCGGTTCGAATCGTCGAGGACCGAGTTCTTTCCGATCGGCTTGACTCACTGGCACTGCGTAGAGATGTTGCATCTCTTTGCGTATTTTATCGCATATCTCACGGCGAGTGCTCTAAGGAATTGTTCGGACTTATTCCACCCGCTCAATTTCGCCATCGCACATCGCGACAAAACTCGCAATACCATCCATACCATCTAGATGATTGTCAGTCCACCACTGTGCGATTTAAAAGAAGTTTTCTCCCTCGCACAACTTCCTTGTGGAATCGATTACCACCAGCGATTTTTCTGGACCGATACGATTTAGGGACCTTTTCAAAAGGCCGGAAACGCATCTGCAATTTCCCTGGTGTTGCTTTTGTTCATGGGCGGCGGTAGTCACTTACCATCAGGTGAGCTGCAAGCTCGTTTGCCCCCTATCCTATAAAAAAAACCTACACTGTCGTATTAGGTACGCCTGTAAAGACAGAGGTAGAAATAATTAAATTAAATGAAGATGCGTTGTCACCCGTGAGAACTAAGATGGAATGCCTCCTTTCCAGTAAAAATGGTCTCTGGTTCTCTACACTCACTATACGAAACACAACAGCGTTAAGCTGCTATCTTTTTTCTATCTTGGACGACTCCGTGGCGCAGTGGCTTAGCAATGAGTTGTTGCGCTGGGGGCCGCGATTTGGAATCCCGCACGGAACAAGTATTTGTATGACCTACAAATAATTGTTCTGGGTTTGGTTGTTTGTGTTCGTGTAATTTAGGTTTGTAAACTGCCTCCATGACATAGGAGAAAATCCTAGTGTGGGGGTATCGACTTATTTAAAAAGAAAAAAAAAGAATAACGAAAATCATACGCTGGTATTCTGTGATAATGCAGTCCTTCCCCGGTCAAATCGACCCATTCGTGTTACAACTATAACAGTAATATAGCTGCAGCATCACTATACCACGTAAAAACCGTTTGTGAAAGAGCCCTGTGCGATAACACATTCGATTCGTACCATTATATTATTGAAATAATGTTCACAGGATGAGTTGTTCCATTTATTTGCTTCTAAAAATCGTTCTCGAGAATCCAAGCAACATTTATTACCCCAAAATCAATTGTTTTAGTACAAAATAATAAAAATTTTAAATTATTATTATTTGGATGTATCATTATGTTACAATCTTTGATTTTCGATTTGGTATATTCATTTATAAATTTATTTTTTTTTAAATCATAAGTGCCATAAAGAATTTTTACTATGTTATTATTTCCATAGACCATAGACTTAGAATATAGTTGCGTACAGTATATTCAGGTCATAGTATAGTCAGGTCATAAGTATTGTCACACAGTAAAAACTTTTCTTTTAGAATGCTGGCCACAAAAATTTATTGAATTCTAATTTCGAATTGTTTCGAACGGTCACGCGCCAATTCAAATTTTTGACATACTGAAAAATTTGAATATAACCAAAAGATTCGTTTATCGTACCATCAAACGATACAATGAAGACTCTAGTGTAGATGACAGGTCAAGAAGTGGTCGCCCTCGGTCTGTTAGGACTCCAGCAGTGATAAAAGCTGTGAAGGCGCGAATTCAAAGAAATCCCAAACGTAAGGAGAAACTGTTGGCCCTTCAGATGGGGTTAAGCAGAACCACGGTGATAAGGGTGTTAAATGAACTAAAATTTCTTAACATAATATTTTTAAAGGTCCTAATAAATCTTCCAACAATAGAGAAAGAAAAGAAAAGAAAAGAGGCTTTTAGTATAATATGTTGAGTAATGATTTTTTATTTTATAATGACAAAACACATTTTTTTAAGTTTCTTGTTGTAAAACTCAGTTCATATATTAGTTTGTAAATTCTTAGGAATACGACTTTGACTGAATAAATCTCGGAAAACTTCAAGCGTTTGTATTCATATTCTTTTTTTTTAAAGAAGGTACTCAAGCATACTTCGAAAAGGTATCAATAACTGCCAATATCTTTTTGTGACTAGAATTTTCTTTAAAAACAGATTGTATGTGAATCATATCAGGTTGTCATAAATCGTCAACGTCTAACATCACAATATGTCTTCGCGGAAAGTTTTTTCTGGCTTCTTTATGTATTTCTTTCACCAATATTTTTTTATTAATTTTTTCTTTATTTTCTGTGTCACTGAATCTATACTTTGCTGAACAGTGTTTATATCTGTTCCAATTTGTTTCAGAGTTTGATTTATCGATTTAAGTTTATTTTCTCAGTTCTCTATGGAGATTGAATTATTTTCTAAGTTACGATTGTATTATTTTCTAAGTTCTCATCTGAGTTCATCAGGACAATGTGGGCAAGCCGACTTCCTACACACCTGCAGACTTGCTTCGCCGCGCAGCAAACGAAGATGTCACTAGAAGACTTGGCCAATGGCCGTCAATGACGTTGTTCCTGCAACTATGCTAGCCAACAGTCCAGTACTTGCGCAAGTAGCTAGTACATCATCTACACCTACGGCCTCAATTAATAACACCATTGAAGCCATAACGCGGACAGTGACAGAGCTCAGCCAAAAAGTGGAAGCAATGAGTATGGAGTTACGTAGGCGTTCACGTTCACGATCTAACGGTTCAAGAACGCTCACGTTCACGCTCACGTCCTAGCGATCACCCGCATTGCTTCTACCACTACCGGTTTGGTGAAAAAGCATGGAAGTGTACTCAACCCTGTACCTATCAGAAAAAGGGAAACTGCCAAGGCAGCCATTAGTGGCGGCAAACGACTGCCTAGCGATTTCGAGCCGCCTGTTCATTACAGACCGCAAAATAAAGGTGCGATATCTCATCGATACAGGTTCAAACCTGTGCGTCTTTCCGTGATTCGCTGTTCGGGAGCCACGAAAAAAGACAAAGTACGAGTTGTTCGCAGCCAACGGAACAATTATCTCTACTTATGGCTACTTGCCATTAACAATCGACTTAGGACTCCGACGAGCTTTTACTTGGCGATTCACCGTAGCCGACGTCTCGAAGCCCATCATCGGCGTTGACTTTATAGGTCACTACAAGCTTCTAGTCGATTGCCGTAACCAGCGTCTAATCGATGGCGTAACGTCGCTCACAGTTGCTGTACCACGTCATACTTCAACATAGGCAATCTCATCTGGTCGAACAACTATCGATGACTGCGCTTACCATCGTCTGCTGAGAGAGTTTCCTGACTTCACTCGTCCTGCTGGTAAGCAAAAGTTAATTAGGCATTCAACGGTACACTACATCCGCACTATTACTACACCGGTTCCACCTGTAATCGTTCGTCCGCGTCGCTTAGACCCTGAGCGTTTGAAGATTGCAAAGCAGGAGTTCGATGAGATGCTACAAAACGGCACGGCGCGCATATCCGATATCGGCATCGCGCATCCCTTGGTCTTCGCCACTGCATTTAGCTCGCAAGAAGAACGATGGCTGGAGACCTTGCGGTGATTACCGTTCATTGAACGCACGCACAATCCCGGACAGGTACCCCATCAGACACTTGCAGGATTTTACACACCAGCTGGCCGGAAGTACTGTCTACTCAACATTGGATTTGGTTAAAGCCTAAAACCAGATACCAGTTTTTGAAGCTGACGTATGCAAGACCGCAATCACAACACCATTCGGTTTATATGAGTTCAAGTTCATGGCTTACGGCCTCCGAAATGCCGCTCAAACGTGCCAGCGCTTCATGGACGATGTTCTCCGGGGATTGGAATTCTGTTTTGGATACTTGGATGACATCCTGGTATACAGCTCCAACAGCGCGCAGCATCAGCAACACCACAGGCAACTTTTTCAAAGACTGACGGAATACGGCGTTCTAATAAACACCAACAAGTGCGTTTTTGGGCAGTCTGAGGTCAATTTCCTAGGATATAAGGTTTCAGCAGCGGGAATCCAGCCACTGGATGCGAAGGTGCAGGCTAATCGAGAATTCCCTCCACCAAAAACCGTCAAGGAATTCAGACGTTTTCTTGGAATGGTTAACTTTTATCGCCGCTTAATCCCAAATGGAGCTACGATTCAAGCTCCACTCAACCAAATGCTTGCTGGCCCAAAGACGAAAGGTTCACAACCTATCAACATGACACCCGCTCTTTTGGAGGCATTTAATAACTGCAAGAATAGTCTTTCTGAAGCCACCCTATTGGTACATCCTGATTCACAAGCAGAGTTGGCGATTCAAACAGATGTTTCAGATTCAGCAATAGGGGCAGTCCTGCAGCAATACCAGGACAACGAATGGAAACCACTGGCATTCTCTTCCAAGAAGCTAAGTCCAAGCCAGTGGAAGTATAGCCCTTATGATCGCGAACTTCTTTCCATCTACGAAGCCATCAAACACTTCTGCTTCATGGCCGAAGCACGAAATTTCGCGATTATAACAGACTCTGACGTTTGCTTTTACAACGCACCGAACGAGCTGCTCGCCACGCCAGTTTCGTTACCTTGACTTCATTAGCCAGTTTACTACGGACATCAAATATATCGCCGGAAAGGATAATATAGTCGCTGACCCCCTTTCCGCATTAATGAAATTTCTATGCCCTTAGACTACCAGACCCTAGCCAGTGAGCAAGACACCGATAGCGAGCTACATGATCTGCTGAAGAACGGCTCTGCCCTGAAGTTGGAGAAGCTTAGGACACCAGGACAGGATCTGCAGATATACTGTGACCTTCGTTCGCAGACAGGTATTTAACGCACTACATAACTTGAGTCATCCAGGAGCGAAGGCTACTGTCAAGCTGGCGACGCAGAGGTTCGTCTGGCCTGGCATTAAGCGGGATTGTAGGCAATGGGCAAAGGAGTGCCAGCACTGTCAACGATCCAAAGTAGCTTGTCACACTTCAGCACCGCTCGCATCATTCATGCTACCTTCAGCACGGTTTCGGCATATACATCTTGACCTGACCGGTCCCTTACCGTTATGTTCTAGGTACAGGTACTGCCTCACGATTGTCGACCGCTTCACTCGTTGGCCTGAGGCGTACCCACTCCAGGACATGACAGCAGATACGTGCACCATCGCTCTAACAAATGGATGGATTTCACGCTTCGGATGTCCAGAACACATCACCACAGATCGCGGCAGACAGTTTCTATCGCACACTTTCAAGGAGCTTGCCGCGCTGGTCAGTGCAACACACCACACTACCACATCTTATCACCCACCTGCCAAAGGTCTATTGGAACGACTGCACCGCCAACTGATGTCCGCCATCACTTGACACTCGTCTTCAAACTGGGTTGAAGTTCTACCATGGGTCCTCCTCGGTATCCGCAGCGCCTGGAAAGAGGACTTGCAATCATCTACGAGCTAGTCTACGGTGAACCACTCCGTTTGCCTGGACAGTTCTTTTCCCCAAATCCCAATACGGAGACGGACCCGACCACCGTAGCTAGTCGACTACGCGCGCACGTCAGTAGATTGACCCTACAACCTACGTCTTGGCATGGCAGTTCCAGCCGAATATTTTATGTGCCCAAAGACCTCAGAACTTCGACGTATGTCTTCGTCCGCCAAGGTCCCGCAAGAAGACAACTCGAGGCACCCTACTCAGGTCCCTTCAAAGTCGTGAGACGTGACTCCAAAACATTCGACGTAGAAATCCAGGGCAGGACTCAAAGGATCTCAATTGACCGCCTAAAGCCAGCGTATGTTGCCAGAGAGACTGCAGAGACTATTCCACAAAACCGAAGTGACTATGGTCAAACTACCACCAAAACGACCCGAAGCGAACGCACAGTAAGGTTTCCGGATTACTATCGCCCGAAGTTACAGTCTCAACGGGGGAGTATTGTGGCGAGTAAATTAGTAGCTAGAACGGACCTAAAGATACACTACGTCATACATCGGACGATATCCTACGTCGTCGCTAAGCAACGCCCGCTCATTAGGGCGCATGCGTTCCCATTGGTCGTAGCGCTAGCATAGTTCAATGGCCGCCTGTGTACCTATTGTTCTCATCGATGGTGGCGTAGGCGGAGTGCAATGGCCTCCTGCGCATGTATTGTGTTCGTTGTGAATACGACCAATCAGTGTATAAATTAAGATAAACAACATATTGCGATTTTAATTATTATTAATTATTTTTAACTATATAAGCAATGTTTCCTATGCAATGATATACTTTTTTGTACTCTTGTCTAACTTGTACTTGCGTGTTAATAAATATAGTTGTTAGTGGTCTGCAGTAATTTATTTACTAATTATAGCGGCATATGATCCTACTCCTACGCGTTTAAAAATACAACACCTCGCTGACTATAAAGAAACAGTCGGAGATACCACAAAGAGTCAAAAGCGGTATTCTTATTCCTGATGCCCAGGGAGCCTGGAAAGACTCACGCGACATTGGTCGTGTGCTGGCGTACCAGAACCGCTGGGTTAACATCAGGACTGGCTGTTACTCAAGGCAGATAAAAAAGACGGACGCGTGGTTCCTCGTTGTTTCGGTGCCGGAGGATCATATCCCGACCCTGATGAAGGCCGGACGCCGTCTCGCATGTGTATGCGGGGCGGTTTACTTAAAATTCCAGGGTCGTGGAGGTAAATTCTTTGACACTCCACCAAGCAAAGAGGCAGTAATAACCCGGAAGTTATGGATACCGAAGACATGGTTACCGGTACAGCGGAATCACTGGACTTGGCGTCTAGTGAAAAAACGGCCTACACAATTGAGCCAATGCCCTTAGTAGAGATCGGGCTCAGCGGCAGCTCACTGAGTGACGAGGAGGACTACATTTTGCCGACCACCTCCGACTCGGTGGCTGAGGATGAAACCCGAGATCTGCTGGCAGCCTTATTTTTGGGTGGGGATGGGAAGGACGCGATCAGTGATGGCGTGCCCTTCGTCCAAAACTAGCCTAGTGCAGGCCAACCTCCACCACAGCGAAACTGCGTCGGCTCAATTCCGCAAGTGGTCGGAGGTTCAAAGGACGGCTATAGCCTTAATCCAGGAGCCGTGTGTTGGGGCTGGTAAAATTAAAGGCCTAACCAACCTAAAAGGTAACCTATTCTACGGCTCTGAACGCGACAAACCTAGAGCGTGTATTTACACTACTAAAGATATCTGTGCACAACCATTAACAGATTTCTGTTCTAGAGACATGTATGCCGTGGCAATACAATATACACAGGAGAGAAGATTAGTCGTCGCCTCGGTCTACATGCCGGAGGAAGACACTCCTCCCACTTATGGGGGATTTCCGTTACAGTGATTACGTCCATAATAGATTTAATTGCACCTCATCTTGCTATTATTTTTAATACTTGTATCGATTCTGGTGTGTTTCCTGATTTAATGAAGTATAGTAAAGTAATACCTTTATTTAAATCTGGTAGTACATTGGACCCCGCTAATTATAGACCTATTTCTGTACTACCAACTCTCAGTAAAATTTTTGAAAAAATAATTTTGGATCAATTGTTAATTTTTTTTAATACAAATAAATTACTTCATAAAAATCAATTTGGTTTTACAAGGGGTCGCTCGACGTCTGACGCCGGTGTTGAGCTTATGAAATATATTTTTAATGCCTGGGAGAATTCACAAGATGCCTTAGGTATTTTCTGTGACCTTTCCAAGGCTTTCGATTGTGTTCATCATGATACATTAATCAGGAAACTACAACATTACGGTGTAAAAAATTTGGCGCTTAAACTTATTACTTCATATTTAAGTAACAGAACTCAAAAAGTCGTCATTAATGGTAAATGTTCCTCCGGATCGGTAGTATCAATGGGCGTTCCTCAGGGCTCGATTCTTGGCCCATTCCTGTTCTTAATCTATATTAATGACTTACCTTATCTTGTAGGGGACAATCACGATATAGTATTATTTGCTGACGATACCTCTTTAATTTTCAAACTGAAACGGCAGTCAATTAAATATGACGATGTAAATAATGCTCTATCGAAACTAGTACATTGGTTTAACGCCAACAATTTGCTCTTAAACGGCAATAAGACAAAATGTATTAAATTTACAATACCTAATGTAAAACATTCGAAAACCAATGTGCTCTTAAATGGGGAGGAGTTGAGTCTTGTGGATACCACTGTTTTTCTCGGTATTACTATTGACGCGAAACTTCAATGGGGCCCCCATATATCTAAATTAGCAAGCAGACTTAGTTCTGCAGCATATGCTGTAAGAAAGATTAGAAGTCTCACAGATGTTGAGACAGCTAGGTTAGTGTATTTTAGTTACTTTCATAGCGTAATGTCTTATGGAATTTTGCTATGGGGTAATGCGACTGATATTGAAGCTATATTTGTTTTGCAAAAGAGAGCCGTACGGGCGATTTATAATCTAAATTGTAAAGAGTCCCTTAGAGAAAAATTTAAAGAAATAAACATATTAACTTTGGCATCGCAATATATTTATGAAAATGTAATGTATGTACATAAAAACATAAATAGCTTTAATAAGAATAAGGATGTTCATACCTTAAACACTAGGAACAAACATAAGCTTGTAATGCCACTTACAAGACTCCACAGAATTAGTAATTCATTTATGGGGCAATGTATACGCTTTTACAACAGAATCCCAGAACATGTTCAAAGTTTGTCAATAAACAAGTTTAAAAGTTTTATTAAAGAAAAACTGTACAAAAAGGGTTATTATAATATCAAGGAATACATGAGTGAAAATAACCCCTGGGAATAAGGTGATCGCCACCATGCTGGTTCTATGAAAATTCATTTAAAATTGTATAATCAAAATTATTGTTAAGTGAAATTATGTTTAAAAAAAAAAGTCCCGCTGGGTTTCTTGCTGGTTCTTCCCAGGACAGTGGTATTTTCCGAACCAGTGGTAAATAATGACTTTCAATAAGTATTATGTAATAATCCATATTGAATAAAAATCATTCTATTCTATTCTATTCTATTCTATTCTATGACCTCGTGAGGCTGGTGAACTTCTGCGAGAGGACCGGACTAGAGGTTGACTCCAACGCGCATCATCCCCTCTGTGGAATGGAAAGACCGAATGAACGAGGTAAGGTGTTAGTTGAATATTTATTTAGCACTAACCTAACTATTTTAAACACAGGTTCTGAACCAACTTTCATAAACATACGCTGTCGCACAATAATCGACCTCACACATGCAACACAAGGAGCAGCTAAACTAATTACGGGATGGCATGTGTCGAGAGAGGCCTCATGCTCAGACCATAGATGGATCTGCTTCGCACTACAGGTCGATATCCCCACTACGCCACCATGGAGAAATCCCCGCAAGACGAATAAAACAAAATACCTTAATAGGTTGACGTCTTTGCTCGTGGATTTTGAGGGTACAGATACTATAGCAGATAAATTGCTCCTAGAAGAACAGGTAGCAGCTGTTACTAAAGCCATGATAGATAGCTACCATGAATTATGTCCAGAAATCACTCCACCGAGGCATGCTGAGGTAAAGCAACCGTGGTGGGGTAAAGAACTAGATAGAAACGTAAGAAGGTAAGAAAAGCTCTAAATTGGGCCATGAATACCTAAATGGATGAAGACTGGCTACTAGACAAGAAGGCTAAGTCCGAATACAAAAAATGTATCAGGTATCGACGCTCGACAGGGTGGCGTTAATTCTGTGGTAACATAGAAACCTACGTACAAGCGAACAGGACAAGGAATATTCTAGCTAAACAGAACACGGGATCCATCTCTCTAAAGAAACTCGACGGTAGTCACTCAACATTTGCAAAACGGACTTTCCAGGCTGCTGCGTAACTCAGGAGGCAAACCGGCATGACGACATACTGACACTAACAGCAAAAGACTGGAATTTAGCACAAAGAGTGGTAACGATGGACAAAATCCATTGGGCTATTCACAGTTTCCTCCCCAATAAGGCGGCAGGACCTGACGGCATATTCCCGGCACTCCTACAGTTGGGGGGGTAAAGCACTAATAGTCAGACTTGTTGCCATAATGAGAGCCTGTCTGGCTCTTAATTATGTTCCTAGGGGATGGAGGGAAGTGAAAGTCACATTCATACCAAAACCAGATAAAAGCGACTACACAGACCCTAAATCCTACAGGCCCATTAGCCTCATATCCTTTCTCCTAAAGACAATGGAGAGGATGTGTGAAAGGGAATTAAGGGGGTCGGCGCTAATGAACTTACCACTACACGACAAGCAACACGCCTACAGTCTAGGCAAATCAACAGAATCGGCACTTCACCAGGTAATAACAAAGATTGAAGAGGCCATCCAAAACAAAGAAATATGTCTAGGTTCCTTCATTGATATAGAAAGTGCTTTTGATAGAACGAACTTCACCAGCATAAAATGTGCACTCAGTAGACATAAAGTTGAACCGGCACTGATTGACTGGATAGAAAACATGCTCAGTACACGAATAATAAATATCTCAACCAATCCAAAATAAAGAAAGGCTTCTCTCACCTCTCCTGTGGAATAAGGTCATTAATGAACTCATCAGCAAATTAAATGCCAATCACTTCTGCACAGTAGGTTATGCTGATGACCTGACAATACTGGTCTCTGGAAAGACAGCAAGCATAGTGTGCGACCTGACCCAAGCAGCTCTCGGTATAGTGGAGAGATGGTGTAGGGAATACGACCGTTAATCCAAATAAAACGGTTCTAGTAATGTTCACAAAAAAACGTAAGCTGAATAACTATCATCTCCCAAGTCTTTTCAGCACAAAACAATAAAATATTTAGGTATTACCTTGGACAGCAAACTTAACTGGAATAAACACATAGATAAGAAAATCAACAAAGCTAGTATAACTTTCTGGCAATGCAGAAACATGATTGGCAAAAGATGGGAATGACGCCAAAAATTATACTGTGGCTGTACAAAACTGTAATTCGGCCCATGATCACATACGGTGCTCTGGTATGGTGGACCAAGACATATGAAGCCACCACTATAAAAAAGCTTCAGCGCTACCAGAGACTGGCATGTATGGCTGCCACAGGCTGCATAAAGACTACAGCAGCCTTAGAATCGATGCTAGAGCTAACCCCGCTTCATCTACATATACAACAAGAAGCGACTTTAGCTGCCATCACACTCAAGACCCTAAATCTTTGGAGTAAAAATAGAGTTCCTCATACAGGCATAATTGATAGAATTCACTCAAAAATTCCTATCTTACAAGCCAAGTACGATAAGATTCCTAAACAATTTGTATTCGATAAGAAGTATAAGATACAATTAAATGAAACCATCCAGCCGGAAGGATTAAGCCCAAAAGAGCTTAGAGTTTTCACCGATGGTTCTAAAACAAATGAAGGTTTACGTTCTGGAACTTTCTCTGAAGAACTCAATATCCACATATACACACCGCTGGGTACCTATAACACAGTCTTTCAGGTGGAATGTATGGGTATCATTCAAGCGGCCATAACAATAGATGCTAGGAAGATTAATGACTTCCCCATCAGAATACTGACCGAAAGTAGGGCGGTACTACAAGCTCTGAGTTGCAATGTGGTGAACTCGGGACTAATATATGAATGCCATCAACGAATAAATGAGGTATGTAAAAACAACAATGTGACTCTGCAATGGATAAAGGGACACAGTGAATCCAGAGGCAACGATGCAGCAGACAAACTGGCCAGAAGAGGATCGGCTCTGGCCACTATAGGGCCGGAACCAATCATACCAATCCCCTTTGGTAATGTTCGTTCACTGGTACGTAGACACTTCACTAATCTACACGCTCAGCTTTGGAAAATCTAGTAGACTGTAGACAATCTAGGGAGGCCCTGTCTGAAATAAACAGTCGTTTAAATTAAAGTTCTAATGAGACTGAACAAGCCGCAGATCAGGATATTAACAAGTGCTATCACAGGACACGGCAACTTTAACAAGCATTTATTTACTATAGGTGTTACAGATAGTCCCCTGTGCAGGGCATATTGGGGGAAGAAGAAACGGTGGCCCATGTGATATTGAAATGTCCGGAGGTCACTACATACAGGGCTAAACATCTCGGCACGCCGGGATCACTCCCCAAAGTTGCATGCAACATCAAAGGACTGTTGAGCTTCTTCAGGGAGATTTCATGGCTCGAATAAGCATATTATTCCTGCCCACACGCAAAATACGCGCATAGACGTGGAGTTGCGGAAAACAGCCCGTCGTGAACTAAACTAACCAACGAAGCTTAGCAAAAACTTCCTCCATAATTTTTTCAAAATAGATAGATATAGATATACGTTCTTCACATGTTCTTCTAGGCTACATACACTTTATGATTACAGTACATAGAGCCTATTATTCATATTTGATATTGAATTTTTTAACTTTAGTATATATGCTACCTAATGTCGCGCCATTTGAGACCAAATTCTAGAAAGATGAGATTTATGATATAGAAATGAGCTATGTTGTTTCTTATATTGGTTCTATTGATATTGAATGCAAATACTTTAGGAAAACCAAATAACATTGAACTTCAAGCAATATAATATTGTTAAAGGTCATCACAATTTTAAAACTCAAGTTTAAAACTTATGATGTTCAGTATAAAATGAATTAAGACCTACATCGCGTTGTCTAATTTTTTCATTCTTTAAGAACATAAGGATTGTAGGCTAAACTACTGTTAGACTGATCATGTGTGAGATGCCTTGGTAGAATTGGCCCAATTCACTAACGCTCTCATACTTGTTTCATTGTCAACCATGCACATATGTTCTCTTGTTGTAATTAAGGTTTGGGCAACCCGAAAACAACTTTAGACCTAATCGCATGGGTAAACTACCAACCTACCAACTAAACTACGAACCATATAACCAACCAAGTACCAAATAATTAGTATCACATCAACCTAAGCGTTGGGGATATATCACAAAGCACTGTATCAAGTTAAAGACATCTCCCATAACGCGTGAAGGTTTTGCTTTTATTTTTTACGCTATTCACACTAAATAATTGTAACTGTCGTGTATTAGCTGTCTGTTTAATCAGGTATAGCATCGCTCAGTAAACAATATTATAGCATTCTGCAATTGAAGCCGTCATATTGAGTAATTAATAGTTGTACACGCCCCTAGCTGCCCCAACCAAGGACTACGGGATTAGGGCCCATGAGTAATCCCATCGACGAGCAGCAGAGGGACGGGGCCATAATAGTCATTGTTTAAATACGTAAATGTCAATTATTAAATTTTTATTAAGTGCCTAACTTGGTGTATATTGATTAGGTACATATTAATAAATTGAACTGACTGACTGATATTTTAATGGCATTCAAGGCAATTATTTTGAATCGATCTGTCCGTCAGATTAAGAAGCAGAGCATCGCTCAGTAAATAATATTATAGGATTCTACACTTCGAGCCAACATATCGAGCAATAGGCGGGTAGAGTTGGGGGATTCTGCAGAACGAACCGAGTGCAGAGAGGTGAAGTGATATGGAATCCCCAATTCTACCCTACTCACATTTAAGTGACAGAACTCAAAAACTTGTTATCAATGGTAAAGGTTCCTCCGTATCGGTAGTATCAATGGAAATTACTCAGGTCTCGATTATAGGCCCTTTCCTCTTCTTAATCTATATTAATAATAAACCTTACCTTTTAGTGGACAATGAAGATATAGTATTATTTGCTGATGACACCTCTTTAATTTTCATACTAAAACGGCAGTAATTTAATTAGGACAATGTAAATTATGCTCTATCAAAATAGGTTTAAGGACATAGGTTTAACGCCAACAATTTGCTCTTAAACGTCTAAATAATTATACCAATGGCTTCGTCAAATAAATTTTATTCAGTTTTATGACAACTATTTTATGGGACTATAGATAATAATTGAGATTTTATTATTAACTTTGTTAATTTTGACAGTGGTAGAGCCACGCGGCAGCTTTTGCTGTCGCACGGATGGGCCGGCTCAAACCGGGGTGGTACCACGACCTCACCAGAATACCAGCGTGAAGTAGAGGTTTATCTCTGCGTTTCGCTCGGTGAGTGCAAGTGGCCGGAGGCCTATTTTACTGGAAAAGAGGCATTCCACCTTAGTCCTCACGGGTGACAACGCTTCTGCATTTTGATTCGCAAACGAAGATAGATGTAAATGTTATGGGCCACAGCTACCACTTACCATCAGGTGGACTGTGTGCTCGTTTGTCACCCTATCCTATAAAAAAAAAGTAACTGACATGGTATGTATATAATGTGTTTAACTTAATTTTCTTAATTTTTTATTACTTTCTTTAATAACACTTTTGAGATCTTTATAGATGGATTGTTTGTTTTTGCTGATCTAATGATTTTGAGATGTTGATGTTGAGATGAGTAAACAAATTTGCACGTCTCCATTAGGTACTTGGTATGTAATGCATAGTATTTAATAGTATCTCATGAAAAACACATACTAAAAAGCAAATAAATAAATTCCGAGCGTTTAAAACTTGTATTTCCTTGTGCCGTTTTGGAGAAATTTGCGTAATAAACCATACAATGTTGTTTACAAATCACCTCTGATTAACTTCGGTCTGGGCAACTTCAAATTGCGTCTTAACATCACCAATTCTTGTGGACATTTGGTATTTTTCTCTTTTTAAGTTAGTGTTAGAGTCTACAGAGCACAGTACAGAACCCTGGTAAGTTTTACAGTACGCAAGCAACCCGGGTCCGATCCCTGCCGGCATCAATAAAATTATTATTTGCAATTTTTAAAGCTGATTCACCACGTGCTAGGCGGTGAAGGAAAACATCACGAGGAAACCTGCATGTCTAAGAAATAATTTCCGAACACATGATGATGAAACTATTCTCGAAGAGACGTGAAGTCCGCCAACACGCAGTAGGGCAGCGCAGATGTATATAGGCTGTTACTTTAAATTTAACTTTAAATTAGTATTAATGTAACGGTATATCATAAGTATGATGGCGGCATAGGAAAATCCACTACGCCATATCGTTCGAGCCTACGCTACGTGGATCTGCGGCCAAATGCTTAGCCACGCGCTACCGATCCAATAGGATGTCTATAGTTGTCCGACGTTTGTCTTTCTTAATTGTTTTGAAATTTAGCAAAATATATTATGTAATGATTCTTATAACACAGACATACTGTCGTACAAAAACAACAAATAACGTAATTAAATTATATAACGCAACGTTTTAAAGCCTACTTGCATAAAAACTTTAGCAAAAAGTTTTTAGGTAATCTTTACCTCTTTTAACACAGCATTTGTACAAAACTCAACAAAAAACAAAATAAAAAACGATATTTGTTTAACCGTTTAGGCTGTTGTGCGTCATAAGCTATGTAAAAAACTCATCAACCGGCATTTTTTATAGAATATAGGTCCATATACACCTACATCTATCATCAAATAAAAATAAAAATGAAAATGCGTCGTCACCCTTGAGGACTAAGATAGAATGTTAAGT